AAAAGTGCTGATTCTATTTACCTCAGGCCATGGTGACCTGGGCTGGACCGGAGCCACCCCCTGGAGCCTGGGCAGGCCTGGGTCCCCAGTCTGCAGTGTTGGCGGCTGAGGGAGCTGGCAAATAACAAAGCGAATATCCTGATTTGCCTTTACCACGCAGCGAATCCCCAGGTGCCAAAGCACCACCCAGGAGCCCTGAACCTACACTGCAGCCCTCGCCCCTCCGCTTGGAGACAGGATGCAGCTAGGGTGCCAGGGGCCCACCCCACGTTCACGCTGGGCCCCACCCACAGGGGCCGCAGCTGCCTTCAGGTGAACCGCGGAACAAAACTCCCGTGCATCCGGGAGGCCCGGTCTCAGCGCTACAGGCAGGGGCGGGTCAGGCAGGCGGGCTCGCCGTTCCCCTGGTGAGAAGTGGAATATTTCCAGCCATATATCTGGAAATAAGAATGTCACAGTCATCAGAGATTGCAGCCCTCCAAGATGAGCTGGTGAGCCCTCAGGGCACTCAGGAGGGAGAAGAGTACCCGCGATCTAGCAGGAGATAGACCAGTCAACCAGTAGTCTTGTATGGATGTGAGAGTTGGGCTCCAAAGAAAGCTGAGCGTTGAAGAATTGATGCCTTTGAACTGTGCTGTTGGAGAAGACTCTTGAGAGTCCCTTGGACTGCAAGGAGATCCAACCAGTCCATCCTAAAGGAAATTAGTCCTGAATATTCATTGGAAGGACTGATGCTGAAGCTGAAGCTCCAATACTTTGGCCACCTGATGCAAGGAACTGACACATTGGAAAAGACTCTGATGCTGGGGAAAATTGAAGGCAGAAGGAGAAGGGGACGACAAAGGATGAGAAGGTTGGATGGCATCACCGGCTCAATGAGCATGAGTTTGAGTAAACTCAGGGAGTTGTTGATGGACAGACAGGCCTGGTGTGCTGCAATCCATGGGGTCACAAAGAGTGGGACACAACTGAGCAACTGAACTGAACTAAACTGAAAACCAGTCAATCCTAAGGGAAATCAACGCTGAATACTGATTGGAAGGACTGATGCTGAAGCTAAAGCTCCAATACTTTGGCCACCTGATGCAAAAAGCTAACTCATTAGAAAAGACCCTGATGCTTGGAAAGACTGAGGGCAGGAGGAGACAGGGGTGACAGAATAAGATGGTTGGATGGCATCGCTGACTCAGTGGACATGAGTTTGAGCAAACTCCAGGAGATAGTGACAGACAGGGAAGCCTGGCATGCTACAGTCCATGGGGTCGAAGAGAGTCAGACACGACTGACAGACTGAACAAGAACAAAACAGCCATCAAGCTGCAGCCGCTTTTAAGGTGATCCCAATGGACCTCAGGATGTGAAAAACACAGGATACTGGGCTCCGGATAGCTGAGATGTAAATGAAAGAAACTATTTCAATGAGCCCAGACTCTTGCCTCTTCCCGTACATAGAGAAATACTACATTCCTTAACTTGGGATATCTGCTTCTCTTTAATTAACAGTCATCTTTTGATGTTAGACTATCTTCCCTTTGTTGCAGAACTTCTATGTAACCTGGCTCCCCTCCTCGAAGCAGGTCTCTCAGTGTCACTTGAGATGCTGTGTCCTGGGCTTTGAGTTCTAAAAGTTTCTGCTGAATAAAACAACTCTCAACTTTTGGGTTGTGAATATTGTTTTAAGTCAACGCTGCCATCCAGTGGAAGAATCCAGACCAAGCTGCCCTCTCAGGTCAGCAGAAATCCCAGGCCCTCAAAACACTTCTGCTGCCTCCATTAAACTAAGGAAATTCAAACTAAATTCAAGCCAGATATACCATGACTCCTCCAAAATGGTTATGGAACAATTAGCCGGAAACTATATGAAATGAAATTACTGTAAATACAAACTTGAAAAATGTACACCAAATTCACTCAAACTGATTAAGACATTTATAAGACAAAATCAGCAAAATTACAAAGAAACAGAAGAAAATCTACATGATGTGGGGTTTGATTCGTATATCATAAGCTTTGAGTTTTAATACACAAAAAGCCATTCCATGTGAGAAAAAACATTGTGGGCTTTATAAACTTAAAGGTGTCTACTAAGAAAGGTATTGACTTTAAAAACAAAAACAAAAACGCATGGCCTGAGAGTTGCGAGTCAAATTTTATTTTGGGCAAAATGAGGACTGCAGTCCAAGAGACAGCACCTCAGGTAGGTCTGAGAAACTGCTCCAAAGAGAGGGGTGGGGGGGAGGGAGACAAGGAGGTCAGTATATATATGTGATTTGGGTGAAGGGGAGATACGAGCAATCAAGCACATATTTTTTCAAATATGTGGTTTCTACTAGGTTTCTGCTGGTCTCGTGAAGCCTTTGCTAGTCACGAGGAACTGTCACCACCATGAAGGATTTTAACGCTTTTCTAGAGATGAGGAGATACAAGAACTGGGCTCATAAGATCAGCTCCTGAGAATGTCTATCTGAAGACTTATCCTGTTAGGTTCCCTCCCCCCACCCCACCCCAGCTCTGAGGGCCTCATTCCTGCTCTCCACCCTGAACTCCTTTCAGGGAGGGTTAAAGGTCAGCAGCTGCAGCAGCACATGATTTAATCCTCGTGCAGGTAGATGGCAAGCACCCATGGCAGGTGCCACTTTGTAGTCGACAAAGACATTATTCAGAAAGTCAAAAGACAAGACACAAACTGTGAGGAAAAGATTTCTGAACCACAAGTCCAAGAAAGGATTTGGGTTCAAAATGTTGCCAAAAGAAGTGTGGTGGGGTCCAGCTACTCGCCATCCAAAAGCCCCATAAATAGCCCAGGTTTGTGGAAAGGAAAGTTTGCTTTATTTCAGGTGCCAGCAGCCGGGGCGGGGAAGGGTGGTGGACATCTGTCCAGAGGCCCCTCTACCCCTGACAAGCAAGGGATGAGAGCTTTTATGGACAGAACTGGGGTGGCGGGCTACATGCAGAAACAGCACAGTCATCTTTAATGGTCACCTTCAACTGGTCATCAGTGGTCTGACAAGTGCCATCTTGGTTGTTTTAGGTACTTCATCTTCAGGCCCAGGGTCCATTTGTTCCCATTTCTTTGCAGTCAATTCTCAGAATTGTGGCAGCTCATGTCCTGAGTTCAGCCTGATCATCATGTAATGAACTTCTCTTCCTGAGGTTTCAGTATCTGTAAGACAGCTCATAGGATATGGCAAAGAATATTATCTATAGCCCTTGAGAAATAAGTAAAGGTCCTTGACTATGCTTAATGCCTACATTACTATTATTAAGTCTCCTTTGACTGTTTTCCTTTGTTTCAGTATTTCTCATTTCTCTGGTGAAATTTATTCTTTGGCTAAAGTTTTCCACAGACTAAAGGTAGGCAGGGGACATGGTGGGGACAAGCAAGGACCATACAGCCCTGCTACGTTTCAGAAATAGACAAAAACCTCTAAAACAAACCCATGCTAAAAAAAAAAAATGGGTAAGGATCAAACAGACACCTGGCCAAAAAAAGACTTACACATAGTAAAAATCATACAAAAATTATACAAAAATATCATACTACTAGGGAATTACAAATTAAAATCATCAGATATCACAGCACACCTATTAGGACTGCTAAACTTCAAATATATGACCATATCAACCGCTGGAGGGTGAGGAACAACAGGAATCTCCCTCGATGCTGGTCGGATGTAGGTACAGCCACTTCATAAGACAGCTGGGCGGTGTTTTCTAAAGCTAAACAACGAGACCCAACAATCATGCTTTCAGTTTTTAGTTAACTGCTTTGAAAATCTATCTCCAAATTCAAACAAGAATGCAATTACACCCAGCAGCACTATTCATGATAGACAGGGTACAGACCCGGGCCGCAGGGTAAGGGACGGGGCGGAGGGTAAAGGGCGGGGCGGCAGGGTAAGGGGCGGGGCGGCAGGGTAAGGGCGGGGTGTGAGCGGAGCGGCAGGGTGTGAGCCGGGCGTAGGATAAGGGGCGGGGCCCCGGCTAGGGGCGGGGCCAATGCGGACTGCTCCTCGGAGCCTCTGGCAGGGCAGAGCCGGCCTCCTTCCGGTGAGGCGAGAGCTGGCCGCGGTTTGTCTGGAACTGTCGTGAAAGGGGGCGTGGCGCGCTGCGGTGTGCTCTGACGTGACGGGAGCGCGACGTTTGCGCGGCGGCCGGCGACGCGAGCGCCATGGAGCGCTGCTCTGGCGCCTTGGAGGAGGCGGCGGACGGGGCCCGGCAGCAGGAGCGGCACTACCAGCTGCTGTCGGCGCTGCAGGGCCTGGTCAAGGAGCTGCCCAGGTGCGCGGCCGCTGGGGCGGACAGGCTGGGGGGCCGGGCCGGCGGGCCGCGGGCTCACCGCGCTCCGCCCACAGCTCCTTCCAGCAGCGCCTGTCCTACACCACGCTCAGCGACCTGGCCCTGGCGCTGCTCGACGGCACCGTGTTCGAGATCGTGCAGGGGCTGCTGGAGATCCAGCACCTCACCGAGAAGAGCCTGTACAACCAGCGCCTGCGGCTGCAGAACGAGCACCGAGGTGCGCGGGGGCGGGGGCGGCCTGCCCGGGCTGCTTGGTCTCGGGCGGAGCCCTTCCCCGGGTTCCGTTCGGCAGCAGCCCCTGAAATCGACCTCATTGAGGAAGCGGGGCTTGATGACATATGGGGTCCAGTCAGCTCCACGTTGTCAGTGGCAGTGTCACCTTCGCGCGGGACCCCAGAGATGCTCTCACCCACTCCCAGGCGGGATCCGTCAGCCCGCGAGCAGCTCTGGCTACGCTTAGCACCGCAGCGCCCGATAGGGCCCGTTCCCTCTCCAAGGTGCATTAGGTTCCCATGCACGGAGCCCCGAGGCACCCTCTGGGCCCTGAAAACTCGTTCCTTGGAGCCACACGCTGGGCAAAACCTCCTGAGCCTTCGCCCCTCCCAGACATCCCTACAGGGGTGGGAGGGGCCTCTGGAGCCCCTTCCAGCGGGGTGTGCCGGGCCGCTCTTCCGGCCCCCTCAGATTTCTCACCTTTGTCGTTTTATTTTTACCCAACTTTATTTTTAAAATGAACAGGAAAGTTGAAAGTACACTATAATGAATACCCATACGTTCTCCAGCTCCACTCAGTAATTAAAGTTTTGACAAAATTCTTTTTGTCCATCAGTGTATGCAACACCGCCGACTTCCCCAGAAGCCCTCAGCATTCCTCTAGAACAAAGTTTTCAATTGCAGCGATGCTGGAATCTTGGCTGGACAGGTCTTCATGGTTCTTTGCAAAACAGTAAACAGCATCCCTGGCTTCTATACTAGACGAGAGTGGCACCTTCCCCCAGAGCCAACAGCCAAGAATGTCTCCGGACATCCTTGGGGTCAGCCTTGGTCCAATGTTAGAACCAGCAATCTAGAACAAGAACACTGCTGTGTAACCACAACGGATAGAAATCAGTCATTCCAGGGTGTGATCTGATGTTCAGACACACCAACACTTTTCTCAGATTATCCACTGACAAGGATCCAGTGTGTGGTTGTACATTGTGGTTTGGCCTCTGCTTCTGGAAGAATTCCCACCATTCACTGTGGTGCTGACTTTTTGAAGAGTCCGGGGCATTCTGCCTTAGAACATCCCTACTCTGGATCTGATGGACTGCCTCATGCTGACAGTCTCCCTCCCTGTCCACCTTCTGTGCTCCATGTGACCTGGACAGCGTGATGATATGCCCGCTAAACGTTTGTGGCAAAAGTGCCTCCTGGTGATGTGAGGTCCTTTCCCTATGTTGCGGGTTTGATGGACGTCTGTCCCCGGATGAGAGTATCTGTCAGGAATAGATGTTGGGTTTTGTCAAAGCTTTTTTTCTGCATGTTTTGAAATAATCAAGTGACTTTTTGGTGACTAGAGTGAATTAACAGTATTTTTTAAATTCCTGGGATAAACGGTGCATTTTTTAAATTCCTAGGATAAACGTCATTCCTGGGATAAATCCTACTTGGTCATCATGTCCTTGGGCCCCCTCCAGTCTGTGCCACCCTACTCCCTTGGGAGCTGTGGACAGGGTGTGCAGGGTGGCTCCACCCCTCCGCCAACCAAGGACAGCAGAGGAGTGACTGCTGTACCCTGGAGCAGAGGTCATCCTGCTTGTCCTCCTTTCCCGGGCCTTTGCCTGCATGGTCTCTGGGACATCTCAGTGGATATCCCACAGATGATAGGCAGGTCACGCAGGACTCCTGGCCTGTAGCCATGTGGGCCTAGAAACCTCCAGCCCGCAGTCTCCCCTATCCCCATCTTCCAATTCCCTGTGCTCAGGCTGTGGCCCTGGCTCCACCCTCCTCTAGGAGTCTGGAGCCCTGCTGCTGCAGACCACCATATCCTGGGTGAGAGCAGGCCCGAGTGGGCTGGGGGCTGCGTGTCCGGAGCTCTGCCCAGCATCTGGTGCAGGCCTCTACCACATCCCCACCACTGGCCTGCTGCCTGTGGTGCTGAGACAGCCAGAACATGCCTTCGCCTCACCACTCCTCACCCTTCACCACCTGACGGTGCCTCTCTGGTCTCGTCCTCTCCCAGTGCTCAGGCAGGCGCTGCGACAGAAGCATCAGGAAGCCCAGCAGGCCTGCCGGCCCCACAACCTGCCTGTGCTCCAGGCGGCCCAGCAGCGTGAGCTCGAGGTAGGGGTGTGGGCATGGGGGGCGCCCACCTGCACTCTGCTGACAGGGCCATGTGGAGGGGATCGGAGTGGTGTGGGAGCCGACCTGGGCTGGGCCGCAAAGGCCTGACATGCCTGCGTGTTGCTCTTTGGATGGGGGTGCTAAGCATGGGTACCACAAAGGCCTGACATGCCCATGTATTGCTCTTTGCTGGGGGGTGCACACTTGGCATGGGTGAAGAGTGTGTGGTGCCCCCACCCCTCCATGTGCTCCCCCAGACCACAGCTCCTCAGCCTGGGCCTTTGCAGGGCAGGCGTGAGTGGGGGCCACTGTGCCCCACGGCCTTGGGGATGCGAGGACAGTGGTGGGAGGATGGAGCCACCAAGTCCTGTTCCCAGATGGACAGGAACAACCCAGAGGCCCACCCACAACCAAGAACCCCCAGGGGAGGGTGCATGCCCAGACCTGCACAGGGTCCTGAGGCAGCCCCAAGCCAGGACGTGCAGGAAGGAGGTGCTGAGTGCGGCGGTGGCAGCTCTAGTGGGAGGAGACATGCAGAGGCTAAGAGACGGCGGTCAGCTGGACAGCCGGCAGAGGTGGGGCCGGCATCTGGCCATTCATGGGGTCAGTGCCAGGTGGCACCCAGCAGATCAAAGGGAGGCCACCTGGCAGGAGGTGGGAAGAAGGGTGTTGGGAACAGGACTCTGTGTGGGAGGGTCATAGGTGCAGGTGCAGTGCATACACCATCCTTAGTCTTGAAGCTGGAGCAACTGGGGAGGGGAGAGGGACCGGAGGTGGCAGGCCAGGAGTGTGTCTGTGACATCGGTGGGTGGGCAGGAGGCTGAGCCCTGAGCCTCCCTCTCCATGGCAGGCGGTGGAACACCGGATCCGTGAGGAGCAGCGGGCCATGGACCAGAAGATCGTGCTGGAGCTGGACCGGAAGGTGGCAGACCAGCAGAGCACACTGGAGAAGGCAGGGGTGGCTGGCTTCTACGTGACCACCAACCCACAGGTCAGTGCCATGGGGTTCGCCTGGCACAGCCCAGGGGCTACTGGTCCCCAAAGGCCACATCCTCTCTGGGGGTCTAGCTGGTCACTGGGGGGCCTCTGCCGCCGGAGGACAAGCCAGCTGCCTGCCTGGCAGTGCCCACCTTGCTCGGGCCCGTTGTGCACCACATGGCCCTCATCCGCGGTTCCCTGCATCCCTGCGCACCTCTGTGTGTGCCAAGCCAGGGCTGCTGCAGACCCTGCTGCGGGCCAAGGCCCAGCTTCAGCCCCTTTCTGGCAGGCAGCGGCCAGACTTTCCACAGGCTCCCTGCCCGGTTCCCCCTCGGCCCTGATGGTCGCCTCGAGTGCCTGGGGAAAGGAGGCTGCTTCCCCGGGTTCTACCAGGGCTGAGGAGGACCCCCTGGGCCCATCTGCACCCCAGGAGCTCACCCTGCAGATGAACCTCCTGGAGCTCATCCGGAAGCTGCAGCAGAGGGGCCGCCAGGCAGGGAAGGCAGCCCTGTGAGCCTGGCTGCCCGCGACCACCACCTGTCCCAGCTGGGAGCGCCACCCCGCCCCACAGTGACCACAGGCAGCAGATGACCCCGTGGCACTGGTCTTCCTGAAGCCTGGCCACCACCCTCCCAGTGGCCTGCAGGAGGGGTACCCTGTGAGGAGAACCCAGATGGCCCACACCACCCCTGACCCCCCACCCTCACCCCAGCTGGTGAGGGCAGGCAGGCAAAGGGCACAGCACGCCCAGCTACCTGGCTGCCTACCCTGGCCTCCCTCTCGGCCCCTCCCTTGGCAGGTGCAGCCCCTGAGAGGGACAGGCTTCCAAACTGTGTGTGACCCCAAGAAATAAAGCTGCTTCAGCATGGCCTGCACATGGCTTGTGTGACACTCTATGGAGCCTGTCATGACCGGGCCCACACAGCCCTCATCTGGGGGCTCCGTGGTCTACAGAAGTTTAAGATGCCCCCACCACCCCACGTCACAGGGACCCCTCACCAGCCAAGTCCCAGGGCACTCGGGCCACAGCCAGCCTGCTCCGTGGGTTGTCAGAGCAGCAGGAGTCTGGTATGGGTCACTGGGGGGCAGGGGTGAAGGGCACGGGGCAAGGAGGGTCTCAGGGGAAGACCAAGGCTGGGCAAGCACGAAACCTGACCATCAGAGTGTGCTATCTATCGGCATTGCTCTGAGCCCAGCTCTGGGGCTGGGGTCGGGGGTGTCCAATGCCCTGCCTGGCCGGGTCTGCATGGCGTGCCTGAGGCTAGAGTGGCTGAGCCTGACCCTAAGGCCTCTCAGGGCATCAGAGCCACTCCCTCAGCCGCAAGCGAGGGCTCAATGCTGTAGAAAAGTGGTTTATTGACAGGCCAGCTTCCGCAGCCAGCCGCTGCCCAGCGTGGGGCTCAGGGCGCCAGGGTTGGACTCTGGGGAAGGTGGTTCTTAAGATCCAAGGTCATGGGGGTGGGCAGGTAGTTCCTGACGGCTCCCAGCTCCTCTGGCAGGTGTGGGCCTCAGCCCGCACCTGGCTGCCCATGAACAGAGCAGGGACCTGCAGGCTGTCCCAGCTCAAGGTGTAAAAGGTGATCAGGGTGAGGCTGGGGTTGGCTGGAGCCCTGGGACGTCGCCGCCTGGGTGTGGGTACAGGAGGCCTAGGCCGGCTGGTGGAAGAGGCCGCCGGTGCAGAGCCTCCGCTTGAGCTCCTGCCACAGCAGCTGCCGCTCCCGCTGAGCCCCCTTCATGACCCCGCTGTTCTCTAGGGCGCGGCGGGACAAGTAGGGCAGCACCTCCATCACGGGCCCGTAAGGGACGTACTTGTACACCAGGAAGCCTGCCTGGCCTGCACGCAGGGGAGGGATTGATGAGGCCCCGCCCCTGGGGAGACCCAGCCCCAGTCCCACCCCTGGGGACATCCAGCCCCGCACCCCGGCTCCACCCCCGGAGGCCCAGCTCCGCCCCTCGCGCTACAGCCCCGCACCCCGCTATACAGCTCCGCCCCCACACCCCAGCCCTGCACCCTGGAAACCCAGCCCCACCCCTGTACCCGGCCCGTCCCCAAAGAAGCCCAGCCCCACCCCCGGGAGACCCAGCTCTTCCCCTCCATGTTACAGCCCTGTTCCCAGGGAGACCCAGTCCCTGGGGAGGCCCGACTCTGCTCCTCTGCACCCGGCCCCACCCCCAAGGAGGCCCAGCTCCAGCCCCACCCCAGGGAGGCCCCTCACCCAGCGGGAAGCTGATCTGGTCGCACATGCCCAGAAGCTGTCCAAAGTACACCTGGCGGTCGGCGGGGTGCAGGCCCAGCTCCTCCATCCTGTAAACGGGCAGAGTGTGGGCTGAGCCCCTCTCCCCTCACCCTGAGACCCCTACCTGCAGGGTAGGGTGAAGGGCATAGGCTCTGTCCTGCCTACTGCAGGCCTCTGCCCAGCTGCTCCTGCCGCAGGCCAAGGCCACCAAATGTCCCCTTCCCCAGCCAGCCTCCCCTCCTGCTGTGCTTGCCCCCAGCTGCCCAGAGAGGCAGACTCACCCAGCGGCCGGCCCTCGGTATGGCCCGGGAGGCCCTCAGCCCTCTCACCACACCCTCCTCAAATCCTCGGTACCAATACTGTGTTCCCAGCCCCGCAACCCTGCCACCAGCCCCTCACCCTCCCCTCACCGGCTGCTCTGTGCACAGTGCAGTCACCAGCCACTGGTGGCTACAGAGTCTCTGGAGGATGGATGGTCTGAGTTGAGATGCACTGCACACATCAAACACACATGGGCCTCTGAAGACAGTGTGCAAACAGAATGCAGAGTATCTCACTGCTTTTCTGAAAACGTGTTTAAGTGGTGCTGTTTTGGGTATGTGGGGTTAACTGAAATGTATCAAATTCAACTTCTGTTTTTTAAGTTGACTGCAAAGCATTTGGGATTAATGCCTGTGGTTCACATTTCTCCTAGTGCCGCTCAGACACAGGTGGGGGCCCCAAGTTTGGTCCACACCCTCCCTACTCTCACTTCTGGTCATAGGATCTTAGAAAAATCCCGAGTTCAAAATACCTATGCGCTGGTGATGCCCACACTTTACCTTGGCTCCTGACCAGGCAGATCCGCAGCTACCACCCTCCCTCCACCTGGGTCCTCACACTCACCCAGGCTGGGCCTATCATGGGACCCCCATCCCATCCCTGGAGCCCACCACCCTTCTCGCCAGACCACCCAGCGCACCTCACCCTGGACGTCCACACAAGGGGCATCCCACAGACCCTTCTCTCCCTCCCCCAGGGCTGGGCTCCGAGGTCGGGCCCCAGTCTGGGAAGACGCACGTGGCATCCTGTGAGATCTGCCCCTCCCGACCCCCCGCTGCAGCCCCTTCTGTGTCAGCCCATGCCCGCTGTGTGACTGCAGCTGCCCCAGCACAGGAGAGGCTCTCCATCCACCTGGCAACACCTGAGCTGGGCCTGACTCCCTCTGGCCCACAGAACCATAGCAAACATCACACGGGCAAAGGCCTGCTATCTCCAGGGCTTCTGGAAGCCTGAGACCACCTGTGGAGAAGCCTGAGCTAGCCTGCTGGACATCCAACCTGGGAGCCAGTGTCCTTCACTGCCCCAGCCACAGATGAAGCTGTTCAGGGCCAACGGGACCCCAGCTGACCACGGACGCAGGACAACCCCAGGCCAGGCCCGCCTACCCTGCTGGCTCACAAAACACTGTGCACAGGCCCCCGAGCTGTGGGTGGGCTCATGACTTGGCCAAACCTAACCCAGACTCTCTGATAGGGTCCCTAACATGTGGCACCAGAGGCCACAGCGCTTCCCCGGGAAGACCAGCCCAAACTCTTCTGGGCCCAGGGCCTCTGGAGCAGGACGCAAGAACCCAGCCTGCCTGCAGGGCAGAGGCTCCCCCAGAACGGCCTGGCCAGGCTGCGGGGCCTTGGACGGCAGGGCACTCAGGTCAGGGAAGCCAAGTCTAGGATCACAGGACCGGGCCAAGATGGGAGGCCAGACCAGCTCCGGTGGAACGATCCTGAAGTTAGGAGAAAGGAGGCCTTCTGTGGACAGTTACACTTTCAGCAGTCTCACGGTCCTTGCCTAGTCAGGCTGAGAGGACCGGCCTGGGACCAAAAGCTGAAGTGCAAAAGGGCAGCCACAGGCAGCTGAGACTGCGATGGGACCTAAGGATGTGGGCGCCAGCAGGGCCTCTGTGAACGCCGTCAGGGGGGACCCTGGGCACAGAGGGACTAGCCTTGATCAAGTCTCCAGCACAAGATTGCGTTTCAAGCCTAAGCAAAAACCAGCTTTTAAAATTTGCGACTCAATCCTGTGTTTCTTCCAAAGTCAAGGAAGCCAGAACTCATCTCCTCTGAGCACAGAAGGGTGCCCCTGGCCACCTCACATCCAAGGACGGGGTGGGGTGTCCAAGGAGGCTCCAGGGAGGGAGAGAAGGCAGAACAGCCCACCCAGCCAGGACGCCAGTCGAACCGCCCCACACCAAGGAAACACCTGACCTCCCCCACAGGACTCCAGAGGCTGCCCTGGCCACCCCGTGGCCTCCACATTCCTGTTCCCAGAATGGCGGTTTCAAGGGCAGGCATCAGAAATCGTGGCTCTGAGCTGCAGATTCAGGCTACGGAAAAGCAGCCCTTGGCAGGAGAAGGCCAAGCAGGACATTGCTGAACCGCTCAGGGCAACCAGTCACCCCAGGCAGCACCGGCAAGTGCCCCGGGCACACCTCGGCACCTCCAGTACCCAGGCCTTGGCCAGGGGTGCCTGCTGTGGGAGAAGGGCCCGCCTTGCTCCTGGGGAAGGCGCGGGCCAGCCAGGCCACCATGCACCCAGCTTCCTGTGGGGGGCGGGGAGGAGCCAGAACCCCTGGTGGGGTCCAGGTTCG